ATTACAGTTTCCATTATATAGATATATATAAGACATAATAGTGTAGTGGTTTAATGCATATTTAAAATATAGATGGTTAGATTTCCCAAGTTCACAATTTATTGTCTAAGAAATTCTCTGTTTGTTTCTAAAATTCGCGCTAAACTGTCCCTCGTTTTTAAAGTAGCTGTGCTACTGGGGGGCCACTTTGATAAGGATATTATATCAATATATGCTATACAGCGTACTTTGAACATTCTCACAGGTTTGGATGCTCTTCATAATACATTTCTAAAGTGTAAATATAGAGTTATGATAAAAAGCGTTAGATCTCCATGATGCTGATGTAACATAGCATTATGATTAGTACTGTTTTAAACGTTTAACGTTGAACGTTAAAATCTGATCAAAACCATCCTATACATATTCTAAACCAGCATAAAATACCCTCGCTTTGGTTGCGGGGTTCAAAGTTCATTGTATTTGTCTGTTATTAAGCACAAAGCTAAATCATGGGCTATATCTGTCCTATGCTCACCACGACCATCGAAACCCGGTTTTTAGCGGTGTGAGCCTTCAGACGTACCGCTGAGCCAACGAGGCTGGGTTCAAAGATACTCTCATGATTCACTGAGATCTCAGTGTACCGACCAAGCTCACCCATTATCCCAATTACTGCCATAGCTACCCTGAATTGATGGAGGTCCTCCCCCCCCCAAAAAAAAACAACAACAAAAAACTTCCTACTAGTACTTGAGCACAATTGCCAAGTTTGGTCTCACTGGCTTGTGAGCGAGTGAACGAACAAAGTTCCAAAAATGGCGTCTCTCACGATTCTGAAAATCCACTCGTAGACAACAGTTATGCCTGGGTGACTTTTAGCCTCCCGTGGTATCCTTTTGAATAAGGAAGAAAGAAGAACAATAACAACAACAAAACAATGTTTATGTACCGTAAACTTAAAGAATACATAAAGTGTTTTATCATACGGTGTGATTTTCTCTGTCAGTTTAGGATTTTGATAAAATTATTGTGGAACACTTTTTCTATTACTATAAGTTTACGATCCCATTAAATAAAGGATCGCATTACTTTTTATATTATTCAATAACAAGTCGCAGAAACCTACTGTTTTTTTTTTTAGTTCGAATTTTGGAAGTTGAAACCTCATAATTGCATGTGACATTAAAACACGACAAAAAAGAGACAAAAGGTTTAAACATCTTCTCAACTTCGCTTTTAATTCAATAAAAATATAGAGAATCGCTTGGGCTGGATACTTAATTTTATGTAAATCGTATTAAAAAATTAATTGGTTGCACTATTGCTTCCCGCCTTCCCAGCCCCTGCACAACAGATTAAGTATTTAGTAGGGAGAAAACAATGAAAACAACTAGTAGACCAACCCAGATTGGAACAAAGTATAATTAACAATTAGTTGCCGTGCAACGTATCACACCATTGATTTTCGAGATGTTATCACCAGTGGGCAACAGAGTAATAGTATATTCTATATAAAAAGGGTGTAATCATGATCAGATGATCTGTGATATTAAATTACGGAGATACGATTACACCGTATTGCTTATCATTTTTCAATTATATGGGATTATAAGTTAGAAGACCAAAATTTGCTACAAATATACTTGTTGAAAATTGAAGCGTACGGTTCATGTGAAGGTCGTTTATTAAAAGTTAGTAAAGTGCGTGTCAAGGATGTTTTTATAAGTTTGATTAAAAATAACTGTTCCTAATCGTAGATACATGACCATTTCTGTAGTCGAATAACGGGTTATTTTGTTTTATAAGGTGCTCTTTATTTGTATTAAACCTTAACTCAAAATATTTTTATCATTAATATCGACAGCAGGCCTGCGAAGTTAAACTTCACAAAAGTTGTTTTGATTTTAATAACGGATTTTCCATAATTCAGCTACGCAGATTTCTAAAATAATATTTTTTTTTCTATCACGTAAGGTTTTCTTACAAATCAGGAAGAAAAAAAACTCTTACTTAAATCAAATTATTATTTCGTTTACCACAATTATTATGTTTGTTAACAAAAATACAAACAAACTGAGGAAGGAGAAGAATATTGATGTCAAACGAATATGCATCCTTATTCATCCTAATTTAATTTTGTGTGTGAAATCTACGATTTTTAGTCTCAAAACTAGTGTCTTTCTTTTATGTATTGCATTATGACGTTTTGTTTATCAGTTAAAAATTAAGGATGGAGTGCATATTACCCCCTCTGGTGATAAGTCCTCAACCACTGTATGATGAAGCTACGAAATGCTTCACGTACGTGACTAAAACGATAACTTAGATACGTTTCAAGCAATCTTTTGTACATATGTTTCTTAGGATATCGATTTATGATATCAGTTATGACGAGATTCGTCATATAGTATTTCACTGAGTTTAATTGTGAAGATAAGATTTCGTATATCGCTTTTATCAAAATTAGATAATTGTGTTTCATGTCATGATATTTGTGGCATGTGACTGATAGGCATATGCGAGTTAATAGCTGTTGAATCCTTATATTCTGCCAACCAGTGGCACAGCGGTATGTCGGCGGACTTACAACGCTAGAAACCGGATTTCGATACCCGTGGTGGGCAGAGCACAGATAGCCCACAGTCTTTATATACTTGTTTAATTATCTGAGATTCAAAACTTTCACTTTACTGTTACCTTGTATATATATTATCATTCTGAATTCACATTATGAATTCTCTGAAAATTTCGTAACTGAGCTAGTAAATTATTTCTCACAAACTTCTCATTGTTTCAGGCGATCTTAGAAGTTTTACCTCTGTAAATCCGCGAGTTTGATATAGCCTGGTGGTTAGTGTGCTCGTCTCGGAATCTGCGGGTTGTGGGTTCAAAATCCCCTCACCGAACATGCTCGCCGTTTCAGCCGTGGGGACGTTATGAAATGACGGTCAATCCCACTGTTCGTTGGTAAAAGAGTAGCCCAAGAGTTGGCGGTTGGTCATGTTGACTAGCCGTCTTCCCTCTAATCTATCACTGCTTAAGTACGGACGGGTAGCAGCGATAGTCCTCGAGCGGCTTTGCGCGAAATTCAAAACGGAAAGTCCGCTGCTATTAGAATTGCTACTAATATCCAACAGCAAGTAAACTCGATAAACCGAAGTGTTCTGTACCAAAATTCTTAGCACTAATCCAAAGACTAAATGTGTACATGAAAATATTACCACACTAGCAAGATAAAACCCACAAACCGTAAGAATCAATAACTGATGCAGGGATGACATCAGGCTCTCTAGCATCCGGGTCGGGCGCATCATCTCTCTCTTTCTGAAAAGATGTCTGACTCCTATAGACCAAAGGCGAATAATAGTGTTAAATATATTTAACTATCATATACCCAATATTCTTATGTTCAAAATTTTAAACTTAAAACATTTCATTTGTATACATTTACCATGCTATTAATTCACTTAAGGAAGTAATACTCATTTTATACTTATTTTAAAGATACTAAATATGACAGTACCGATAATGCTCAAGTCGTATTCCCCAAAAGGGGGCCAAAGGTCGCCTGAGGGGTTCACCTGTTTTAACCCCTCGCACCGCAATATAGTAGTGTGTTGTCTGTCAGTCAGTCAGTAGGCACTAAAATGATGTCACATAAGAGACGCTTAACGTTGCCATTCCTACTGTTGTGACGTCAGTAAAGTACGTAAGCCATGAATCACGAGAAGAATTATGCAACCTGTAGGCTACAACACAACATGACATATGAACTTCAAATGGAAGAAATGAAAATATTTATTACTCTTAATTTTGGTTTTTATTTACTCTTGATACAGAATATTTTCGGAGACACTGCGCAAGTACATGTAGTTCGATAAAGTAAAATGAAGTAAAAAAATAACGTTATTATGAAATAATTGGGAACAAAACATCCGTAGATCATGCATGTGGGAAAGTATGCTGAAATTTATTTAATTTAATTATTATAAACAAGAATAAAATGGAGGGAAAAGTGCAAAACTGTGTACAGAACGTCACATACAACCCATTAGTTACAATGGAACAATAAAAAGGAATGTAAATTTTGTAAACGTGCTTGATCAGTGCGAAGAAGGATTAGACACACTTTTCAATAATGTTGATACAATAGTGAGCAGTGCATCGTAGTGTTCAGTTTTACGTGTTTCAGGTTTGTTGGTACGGTTTACATAGCTATGCTGAAGCACCAGCTATTTATATAAAGCTCACTTTTATTCCAAGCAAATAATGCGTAGCAATGTTGTAGATTACAATATTAGCAGAGCCCCATTCTCTGCCGCTTTGCTATTTTCGGATTCAAAACAAACTATGTTATTTCTTAATTTTTCTTATCTATAATACAAATACGACCTGGCATGGCCTGATGGTTAAGGAGTTCGACTCGCAATCTATAATTCGTGGAATCAGAAGAGGTTACCAAACATACTCTTCTTTCAAGCTGTGGGGGGTCTTATAATATGAGTCAGTCCCCTTATTCATTAATAAAGCGTAGACCAGGGTTTGGCGGTAGGTGGTGTTTATTAGCTGCTTTCTTACTAGCCTATGATTTCAAAATTTGGGATCGTTAGCACAGATAGCTCTCGAGGGGCTTAGCGCAAAATTTAACAAAAATACAAACACCCCCCCCCCCTCACCACACACGCACACACTGCTCGTCTTGGCAGTAAGCTAGAATTACACATACATTACGTATACATAAGTTTTATAAATATCACTCATTTTAAATAGTTTATGTGTTTTGAAATCAATCTTATTGATGGTTTAATGTTTATTTGTTGGCATGGCTGTATGTCAGTAATAAACGACAATAGACAAACATTAACCTCCTCAGTTTGGTGACTTCTTCTCGTGACGACCTTGTTCATTTTTATATTGTAAACCTTATATAACATATAAAAAGTTGAAACCAAATATATATATATTTTATGTTTGTATAAATGAAGAAATGTTTCATAATTTTTTTCAACGTGCGAAAATCAACGATTTGTCAAACACAAAATGTTCATACTTAGCCAATACATATAACAATATTCCTTGATAGAAGGAACCTCATGTTTAAGTTGATGCATTATAATACTGCAGGAAGTTTAAAATAACAATAACAGTAAATTAAACGTGTAACTCTAAAAAACTACTTATATTAAAACAGAAAAGTGTATTATAAGTGGTATTAATTTCTAGTTTGAATTTATATTAGCAAGAAGACCCACGAAGAAATAAGTCACAACTTCAACACCCGTGTTAACCTTGTAAAGCTGAACAGACCCAAAGAAAGGGCTGTTGTTAGATTTGATCAGTTGTTCACTTATATAGAAACGCATGCACCAAACAACGTAGTGGTTATTTTTAAAGTGCATGGTTTGATTTTTTTGTTTCACGTGCATATGAATCAGTGCTGTTTAGGACAGTCGTTAGATAAGAAAATAGGCAATAAAAACACATATAAATCTTTGTAACTTTCTTCTAGAACTAACTGTATTTCAAAACAAGTCAGCTATAATGCATATACTGTAAAGAAGTCAACTATAATGTATATGCTGTAAAGAAGTCAACTACAATATATATGCTGTAAAGAAGTCAACCATAATACATATATTCTGTAAAGAAGTCAACTATAATATATATGCTGTAAAGAAGTCAACTATAAAGTATATGCTGTAAAGAAGTCAACTATAATGTATATGCTGTAAAGAAGTCAACTATAATATATATGCTGTAAAGAAGTCAACTCTAAAGTATATGCTGTAAAGAAGTCAACTTTAATGTACATATGCTGTAAAGAAGTCAACTATAATGTATATGCTGTAAAGAAGTCAACTATAATGTATATGCTGTAAAGAAGTCAACTATAATATATATGCTGTAAAGAAGTCAACTATAATGTATATGCTGTAAAGAAGTCAACTATAATATATATATGCTGTAAAGAAGTCAACTATAATATATATGCTGTAAAGAAGTCAACTATAATGCATATGCTGTAAAGAAGTCAACTATAATGCGTATGTTAAATAATGAAGGTACAACTTGCGAAACAAAAATCCAAGAAAGTCATTTTCTTTATCATCAGAATTTATTTCCCTAATTTACTTGCTGATTGTTGTCGATATTTTTCCGCATGTATATTAGTAGTCTTATTTGAGTTTCCTTGTATATTTTCTTGCTACACTACATCCAAACGATCGTTCACGGTTCAGTGATTAACGTGCTAAGTTTCTGTGGTTCGCGTCTCGTTACCACGTAAAATAATTAAAAAATATGTTTCGCAATTTGGGACCATGAGTGCGTTATAAGAGCGATAGTGAAATCCTACTATTCTATCTTGCAAGGGCAACCCCAGAGTTGGCGGTGGGTGATATTGACTAGTTGCTTTTCTTCTGGTCTGTTGCTTCAAATAATTGGAAAATAGAACAGACAACTTTGCCCGAAATCTTACAAACAAATTACATATTATTTCGGCAATATTAGCTGGATGTAATCCACTCATTAAATGAAGATTTTGATGTAATATATTATGGATTTCTTTAACACGATAATTACCTTATTAATTAATAAATATATTTTGGGTTTAATTAGTTATATTATTTATTCTAAATGATCACAGCTTAATGTCCTCTCATTATGACACGGTAAGCTACTGATATTTCAGAAGCTAGCGATTTTATTTAAGGTGGGTGTAATGATTCATTTGGGGGTAGGACCCGGCATAGCCAGGTGGTTAGGGCGCTTGACTCGCAATCTGAGGGTCGCGGATTCGAATCCCCGTCCCATGAAACATGCTTGCCCTTTCAGCCGTGGGGACGTTATAATGTGATGGTCAGTCCCGCACTATTCGTTAGTAAAAGAGTAGCCCAAGAGTTGGAGGCGGGTGGTGATGACTAGCTGCCTTTCCTCTCGTCTTTCACTGCTAAATTAGGGACGGCTAGCGCAGATAGCCCTCGTGTAGCTTAGCGCAAAATTCAAAACAAACCACTTTGTGTAGTAACCATAAACCCGTGGTAACTTGGAGATGAAATGAAATGAGAAAAATCTAGAGATTTATACGTTTTATTTACGAATCTAAGTTCGAATTGTTTGACAACAATGAATGAAAGTTTATTCGACGATAGAGAGATGAGTGTTTTATAGTAAATATACAGTAAAGAATATTGATGAACCAGTACACGTTTGGGGCTGCATTTCAGTGGATGAGGTCGTTAAAATACACAAAAGTGATGGCACCCTGACTTCTGCAAGTCCATGTCGATTCTTACCTACTCTGCCATTCTTTCAGAAACACTCATTACATGGCTTCTACTGCGAAAAATCCCGCTATGAAATTCTTAAGGCTATGTAACCTTATACAACATATGAGAAGCTTAAAATATGTCGGAGTAATAATTGAACATTTGGAAAAATATTCCACAATCGTATATTGATAAACTAACTGCATAGCAACATGAAAGCAAGATGTAAGAATCTGTAATACTCTCAAGGTGTAAAGTAAGGGCTCATGACGAAACATAAGTGCATATTGCGTATTATTCACTTTTATTCTTTAATTAACTTGATAATGTTTTCTGCCATTAATAAATTATCTAATTGTTATAACACGTTTCTGTAAGTTCTGTATGTGTGTTATCATAATTATTTCCTTTATTGCAAATAAATTGAATCCATATGAGAGAAATATGAATAATATTGAAAAGCAATCATACGTATAAACTTTAATAGAAACAATGTAGTCAATTATTCACCAATACTATTAAATACGATTAGCGTAAATGTTTGGTTATTCGCAATCTGCTAATATCAAATTTCTAGCGGTTATCTATTTAGAGAATAAAAAAACTACAAGTATAGTTTTGTTCGAAATGTAAAAGTAAATGAACTAGGAATGCGAATTTAATGTTTTACAGTTCTTATTATGCAAATATGGTACTTGCATAAACGTGTTTAAATGAAAAGTATGGTGATTATTGTAATGAACATAAAAGAAAACTACTGAACGTAATAAGTGAAAAAAATGCGAGAATATTGTAACACAAATATTCCAATTTTTTTATAACCAACAACAAAAAAAATTATCTGTTACAGTGTCGCTTTGTATTCTTTTCCTCTGCTTCTCTAAGTTCTTTACGAATATGTTGGCAGTAAAGATATGTAGTTTATTTTTATTAAGAAAGGCAAGCGTGCGATACCATACATATTTTAGTGGCTACTTTCCCTCTGTCTCGTTTCACATTTTTCGGTATTTCGCAAATTTAGCTCCAGATTATTCAAATTATTATATGAATAAGAATATATAAATGAAAATGTTTT